AACAGGATGGATGTCCCGCACATAATACCCTATTGGTAAGAGAATATTTGCAAGACATTTTTGCATACCGCATAATAAGTGGTCACGGAAATATTCTCTGGCCAGCAAGATCACCGGACTTGGCTCCCTGTGATTTGTTTAAGTGGGGAAATGCCTAATCCAAAATGTATGGATTCCAGCATATCATGGCAAATAACCTTAATGAATTAAGAGAATTAATAATTGATACATTAAGGAATATCAGACCTGAGATGCTGTCAAATGTACGACAAAATTTTTATTATAGGTTAACCTATTGTACAGCAGCGTTTGGCCCCCAAACATTTACTTTAATTTATTTATTTTTTTATTTAAATATTTTAGAATACCATTTTTGTTTGAACATTTACTTTAATTTATTTATTTAAACCTTTTAGAATACCATTTTTTAAGAATATTTGTTTTTTTTATTACAAGAATATCGTTTGTTTTCCTCATTTTCGAAAAAAATTCAATAAGTATTCGTTTTTGTAAACAAAATCATAGTTAAATTTTATAGGAAATTTAAGATTCCTCCGACAGCACGTGGACCGAGTAATACTGAAATTATATCGAGACTCGATAGCGAAATTTGCGTCAAGGTTGTCTGGTAGTGGGATTGTAAAGCAGTTAGAGGAGGGAAAGCAAAACATTGGCTGACGTTTAATTGTTTTGATTTAATCGTTTTAAAACCTTGTACTGTACGCTTATGGCAGAGGGGAATTAAGTATTTTGTTATTCTATTCGTTCAACAATGGTTGTTTGTCTATCTTATTTATACGTTTATCTCACTTATTCGTACGTTTATCTCACTTATTCGTACGTTTCATATAGCATGCATCTTTATTTATTAAACGGCCTAAGAGCCCATTACCATCCCTGTATATACTCTTATTAATATTATGTTGGAGGTCCTAAATTTTATGAATGTAAACCAAAGAATTGTATACCTATAAAATAAAAAATAAAATGACGCCATTATATTATATTAAAAATTATATAATAAAATAAATAAAATTTGTAAGTATAAATATACAATACAAGAGCTGAAAATAATGTTTATATAAATACTGTTGCATACTGCATAAGACAATTTTTTATAGTGGACTTAACAATAACTTACCTGTGATAATAAAAATGCCTCTAATTATTGTAAATTTAAAAGTTCTTTGTCTTCCTATACTTAATTCTATTATATATTTATGTAAAGTTTTGTGAGGGTACAACCCTCCCCAGCAAAGAACCTGTAAAAGTTACACCCCGGGTGATAAAACGAAATATAACACCACGGCAAATGTTATATTAAATTGCGACACATAAATAAAATACTTACGGTAATAAAGCTAATTAATTAAGTAAGCCAAGGTACTTTTGAGGTGTTGTATTCATGGGGAATGTATTAAAAAGGAAATAATAAATGCAGTAAATAAAAGATAATAAATTACGTTTGAACTACCGGAAAGGCTCCCGTTTATTTTTATATAAATATCTCTCATAAAATCTTTTAAAATGAAGGATTATGGGAGTAAGTTAAACGTATAAATTATGTAAATTTATAACAAACAATAATGATATTTATTTGGATAAATCAACAACAATAACGTTAACCCAAATGACATTTAACTTATTTTCTGAAAGATAACTCTGAAAGAAAGGGACATCCTACAAACCTTTAAAACCACACAATATCTCCTTACTGCGACCATAACCCACATATAATATAAATAAATAAATATATAAATACCATTAGATAAATAATACACCATACTCGAGCTCAGCTGTCGTTTGTGTTCCTCGTTTTAATTTTTAGTTTGTTTCTTTATTTGTTTGATTGTATGTTGGATAAAAGAAGATTGAGTCTTAGTCTCTATTTTTGTATTTTAAATATAACTATTTGTCAAGAATTCCATCTCCATTAGGTATCCGTCCTTCAAATAAAGTTTTTTTATAATTATTTACTGTTGAATTTAAGGTTACTGTTTCATGATTATTCATGTAGTTCAGTCTCAATCAACTGGAAAAGGAGTTTATAAAAATCGGCTTCGAGGTCATTCCAATGAGGGTTCGCAAATTGCCCATTATGCCTCATTAGTCGGCAAACTTTAATAAATTAATAACTACCATAAAAATAGGTAATAATTTGACCAAATAACAAAAGGCATTGTCTGCGTTGCGCATTCAGACCTTTACGCCCCTTTTAAAATTTAGAGGATAGTAATTCAAAATGGGATTTTTATATCAGGACACCACGAACAGTGGTTATAAATTAAATGTCGCTATCGCACAATCACTGTTGCTACTGACTCCAAATCTAATACCAAATAACTTAATATGACCAGTAAATATAACTTAACTAATGATGGGACATCTGAATCTGCGAGTACAATTTAATAAATCCCGTATTCAAGAAAATCGATATCAATTATACTGAATTTACCCAGCGTTTATGGTAAATCCCCTTTAAGAAATATTTATTAAAATAATTAGATAAAATAAAGTAAAACCCTGCCCTTTTAATCAGATAAAATCAAGTACAAATTGTTTATAATTTAGAATCTTAGTTATAATGCAAGATGGTCCAAACGTCCAAAGCGGATAGACAGATCGATGACGCCCAGTCAATTGATCTTTAGACAAGGCATTTGTGTAAACTAATTATACCAAATTGTTCGGGACTATTTATACTACAATAATTTAGTTATTACAATGTACGAACCTACAAATTTAAACACTTTTACTTTCACCAAACTTACACCTCTTGTTGGTTGCACGAGTCTTTCTCGAATGATCTCCGTTCTTCCCTTCCCGTCTCGAAGGCCGTATTTACCCCCGTCCGTCTAGGCCAAGCGTTCGGCACTCTACGTCAAATACATTTCTACTTCCCGCTAGATTTAAATTGGATTGTTTAGTAGGGGGGGGTATTTGCAGATATCCTCAGTGTGTAATATATTTTACCAATAAACAATTTATTTATTTAATATTTATTTATAAACAAACTTTACTTTACCTTATTTAACAAAAAAATTGACGTATCTTGCGGAAAATTTAAAAATTACAATAATTAATTTCTTGGTAATTAGTTATCGTAGAACCCTTAAATTTATGGTTTATGTTTATCTTATCCTATAAATCATATTTACAAAATTTAAGAAAAATCTATTTAGATTTTCTGCACCGTTCAACTTTTTTCATTATTGTGTTTGATTTGATGTGGAATGACCGTGAATAAAATTACTGAAAAGAGATTTTCATTTTTCGACTTTTGTCCAGCTTTTTTGGATTTGGCAACACTGTGGGTCCGCAAAGTTTGACTTCAAAAAAAGTTAAAAATTATTCCGTTTTCGTTTCGTTCCCGTCCCATTCCCGCCCTGAAGACATATCATCAAAATCCGTTTAGCCGTTAAATACCTTTAAAAATGGCGAATATGCCCTGATTAATTATAACTGAATTTCTAAAACTCTTTCCTAGTGGTTATTCATTTCATTACAGGAATTCACTATCAAAATGTCAGCCCCTTAGGTCCAGCGGTTTGGTACGTGTGTTGATGAATCAGTAAGGACATGAATTATATGAATAGAACATAATATAAACCAAAAGAATAGTAACATATTATGTAATATGTTACTATTATTTTGGTTCAAATTAAATGGTGCTATGCAACAGGGAACCAACCCTTACTTTTGCGAAACTGAGATAATAGCGTCCGAAAATGTATGTCGTTCCTTTTTTTAATTTATTGTTAAATATAGGTTCAACGTTGTAGTTTTATGTCAAAATCGCTTATTTCGCACTAAACTTTTTATTTATTACAATAATTTTGATAAAAATAATTAAATTTGTCAGTTGGTTCCTTGTTGACTGGTGCCTATAGACTTTGGAGTTGCTGCAACCATGCGTCTAAGAGTTTTGTTAAGATTTATAAAATGTGTATGGAGTTCTGTATTACTTTAAAAATTTTAATTTAAAATCTTTTTGACTTTTTTATTGCTTACAAGTATTATTATTATTTAATTTTTATTTTAAGGGTTGGGTTCCTGTTTCATAAATTCAATTTTAGGTTAAATTCCTATGAGTAAAAAATACCAAAGAAACAGAGTTTTTATTAATTATTAAAAAAGAATCAGAATGATTTTATGATGAAATGGAATAAATACACTGTGCGACAAAATAAGGGTCAAACTTTCTCAGACGAAATCTGCTAATTACGGAAGAATGCCTTCCCAAAAACATATTCCCTGAAGGATTTTCTTCGATTAGTTCGCGTTTCCAAGTAATTATTATTTAAACAAAAAAAAATCATTTAAAAATTTCTTCCGCACATTTTGATGTAAAATTTTCAGATTTTTCGACATTTTTGTAGAATCAATGACGTCATCAATCATTTTTTTTAAATTGTACCCCCACTTTTTTGCAGATTCGAATAGATTATGAAATTCTGATTTCAGTTAGGTATATGCATATGCTTTTGGGCTGACAGTTTCGGAGATATTAATTATTAAAAGTGGACAATTCTTAGTTTTTTAATGTTTAGTCAAAATTGAAAAGTTGTTATTTCAGAAATGTTAATAACATTTCTTAAAATATTTATAAAAAGATTTTAAAATAAATTTTAATTTAATGAATGAGATTTTAACTACCAGTAAAGATTGTTTATATTAAATTTGCAAAAACTGTTAATTTAATACTTAGTTTTTTCTCCTTGTACTTAAAAACGTTAGCTGTTATCAGTGCGAAATCATTTCATATGCAGGTTTACGCGAAAACCAAATTGTTTGTGCGAGTGAAAAATGGAAGATAAGTGTCAGCAAATAAACAAGTTTTGTTATGTCTGTGGAAAATTTACAAGAAGTAGCAGCCGTATTATCATGAAATCGAGTAGCATATTAAAAATATATGAAAAATATTTCTCTCATACGATATTCTTCGATGTTACGTGGGCCTCAAATTATCTTTGTTATTCTTGCTATACACATTTGCTAGAATGGAAAAAAGGAACAAGAAATCAAATGAATTTTGGCGTGCTAATGATAGGACTGATTCGGGGACACATGACAGTAACAACTGTTATGTCTGTGTAAATGGCTGTATGGGGGATAACATTAAAAAGTCAAGGAATAAAATACTTGTCGCTGTCCGGAGTGCCCAGCTTCCTTTGGATTATTCTGAAACCGTCCCAGTTCCGCCAAAGTACAACACCTTTGCCGAGAACCCAGGAAAAGCCAACTCTGTGTTTACAGTATCTGTCGCAGCCAATGATGATCATGATGATCCAGACTTTGAACCAGAACCATCTTCGTCAAAGGATCCAATTCCCGTTTCGCAGGAACTATTGTATAAAATGGTAGCAGTTTTGAATTTGTCGAGGATCAGAGCAACTTGCAACTTTTTTAAAACAAGGCAACAACTTGGCTTTTGGCGTGAAAGTCACACGTTATCGCAAACGGCAAGAGTATTTTCAAAAACACTATACGGTGAATGACGAAAATTTACATACTGTCATCACATTGGAAAGTTAATGGAAGCAATGGATATTCAATACAACAGCACTGATTGGCGTTTGTTTATGGATTCATCGACGTCAAGTTTTAAAGTGGTTGTTAAGCGTTTCAATTAATGTAAAATGTTATATAAGTTTGTAGTTGGTTGAAGAGCGCATGTGCGCATTCCCCTCCAATGTTAAATTTTATGTAATAGGTGCACACGTAATAGTCTTCAATAAATTGTTATACAATCAACATCGAGAATAAAACACAAAATATTATAATAATTAATTTTAATTCAAATCCAAAACCAAGTCGCAGTTTTATAACACAATAAGAGAAAATACCCAGGATTTCCTATAGATCCTTAACATTGGTCACTTCGAACCAGGATAATCGATAATTTTGAAAATCCAACCACGTGGAAGATCCAGCAACGAGGTCCAGCGCGTAATTCACGAGGTCCACCGCGTCTTCCATCAGTCCACGTCTCTTTGCAAGCCAGAATATCATTTTTGGGAAAAATCTAACCAAACCAGGCCACGAGGTCGCCCCTGTACCGTCAAAAGTAAGTCCATTCCATCATCCCAATTCTCCCATTTTACCATTTGCTTCAATTTGTGCAATTTATACAATTTATTTAAAATCATATAAATAATTAATTTCATTCATAAATTTAAAGTAAATAGTAGTAATTTTTTTATTTAATTTTTTACCTTCATTCATTCATACAATTTACAATTTTGTCGCTATACAGGCTGTTTCATTTTTTTACATCTCACATAAATCTCAACATTTCATTATTTTTTCAATTGCTAGTTATCTTGTTTTGCAAATATGACTGATATTAAAGCTTTAGCACAAAGACGAGGTGTTATTAAGGGGTCTATCACCAGAATCGAGACATATCTCAAAAACCCTGATAACTCTGCAAAGTTTTTTGATATAAGCGTACGTATACGAAAATTAAATGAAGCATTTAACGAATTTAATCTTATACAAACGGAAATTGAATTGGTTTCTCAAGATGACGAGTCTGAATATAGAATAGCCATAGAAGAAAAATACTATGAGTTAGCAGCACATGCCGAACGTCTTCTAAGCTCTATCACGTCATCAGAAACCAGTTCAAAGGAAGCTAATATAAGATTACCACGAATTAGCCTACCTGAATTTTCTGGTCAATATGAAAATTGGTTGAGCTTTCACGATACCTTTAAAGCATTAATCCACACTAACAACTCCCTCACCAATATTCAAAAGTTTTACTATCTTAAGTCTGCTCTTAAAGGTGAGGCGTCAGGTGTCCTTAAGGCTCTTGAAGCAACAGACGCAAATTATGACATTGCTTGAAAAATGCTTCAGGAACGGTATCTAAACAATAAAATAATCATATACTCACACATAAAAAATATTGTTGAACTGCCTAAAGTAACAAAGGAATCACATGTACAATTGCGAAAATTACTAGACAATTTTTTAATTCATTTTAGATGCCTCCAATCTCTAAAACAACCTGTAGATCAATGGGATACATTATTAATTTATTTACTAGCTACAAAATTAAGTACTGAAACTCGAGTAGAGTGGGAATCAGAAACAACAGCATCTGAACTCCCAACTCTAACAGAATTTACAAAATTTCTCAATGAAAGATGTCAACTTTTAGAGACTATTGAAACTAAAAATGATAAAACTTTCGTTAAATCATACTCACACGTATCAACTAATGAAACAAATAATAATCAAAATATCACTTGTAAATTTTGTAAGGGTTCACATATCATTTTTTATTGTCAAAAACTATTAGCACTTGATCCCAAGCAACGTTTTAATGAAATAAAAAGACTAAATTTATGTATAAATTGTTTAAAATCAGGACATTCCACTAATTCATGTTTTTCTGGTTCATGCAAAAAATGCGGTAAAAAACATAATACGCTTTTACACATTGAAATTTTACCAAACTTAAATCATAATTCTAACATTAACCGTAGCATGCAACCCCAAAATAATAACTCCACCACCTCAAATAACGAACAAAATCAAACTATTAATTCTCAAAATAACCAAATAATAAATGCTCATTGTAACTATCCTATATGTTCACAAATTTTATTGCAAACAGCAATAGTGAAAATATTTAATTCCAATGGACAACCGGTACAGTGTCGGGCTCTGTTGGACTCTGGCAGTCAAGCTAATTTCATGACTCAAGAATTATTCAACAAACTCAATTTAAATTCAAAAAATATTAATTTACCTATTACAGGCATAAATAATTCAAATTTCAATATATCCAAATTCACAAATGCTACAATACAGTCCACTTACAATGCATATCAAAACAACATATCATGCACAATTGTAACACAAATTGAAGCAATTCTTAACTCCCGACCTTTGTTTCCTTGCTCCAATGATCCCAATGATTTGGTTCCTTTAACTCCTGGACATTTTTTGATCGGAGACAAGTTAACCTCATTACCACAACTGAAAGTTGAAGAAACAGCATTGAACAGACTTTCCCATTATAAGCAACTACAACAAATGGTTCAACACTTTTGGCAACGATGGGCAAGGGAATACTTACATACTTTGCAGCAGCGTAACAAGTGGCAAACATCAAATTCGTCTCAGTTGGCTCCAGGCGCTCTTGTGCTTCTCAACGATGACAACACGGCCCCTCAGCAATGGAAGCTTGGTCGAATTACTGCGCTTTATCCTGGTGAAGATGGTGTTGTGCGTTGCGTTTCTGTTAAAACAATAACTGGTGAAGTTAAGCGTGCAATACATAGAATTTCAGTTTTACCTACCTGTGACGATAATGTGGTGTAGAATAATTCACAGAACATAATTCGTTGTTTCTCTTTCATTTTTATTTTAAACAGTTTTTTGAACATTTTTTTTGTTTATAACGTCAAATTATCTGACAGCGTTATATGCGCAATACAGAACATGCGTATGTGTCAGAAACATTGTGTTAGTTCACTGGATAAATTCCCACTATTTAAATCTTTTATTTAGTTAATGTCAAAATTTTATATGTAGTATTATCATTTATTGTTTTTTTTTTATTTTAATAGGTTTATTCATTTAATTGAAACACCGGCCTGTTTCAAGGTGGGCGGTATGTTAAGCGTTTCAATTAATGTAAAATGTTATATAAGTTTGTAGTTGGTTGAAGAGCGCATGTGCGCATTCCCCTCCAATGTTAAATTTTATGTAATAGGTGCACACGTAATAGTCTTCAATAAATTGTTATACAATCAACATCGAGAATAAAACACAAAATATTATAATAATTAATTTTAATTCAAATCCAAAACCAAGTCGCAGTTTTATAACACAATAAGAGAAAATACCCAGGATTTCCTATAGATCCTTAACAGTGGTTCTTCTGCACAAATTAAATAAGAAACCTGCGATTCCTATCGCCTACAGCACTACTATGAAGGAATCGTACGAATCGTTTAAAACTATTTTGGAAATGATGAACATCGGTGGAAAAATTTCTGCGACCTTAAAGTTTTATCGACACTATGCGGATTACAGGGAGGATATACTGTCTTTGGGACACTCGGTATAAAGGGAACCAATACGCAAAACATGACTGGGAGCCTAGAAACCACATGATAAGTGACCAATCTAGTGGGATTGCAAGGCATAACCAAATCCGTCGCCCACTCATTCCTCAGAGTAACGTTTTATTGCCTCATTTGCATGTTAAATTGGGAATAGTGAAAAATCTCATTAAAGTGATTGTCAAGCGAAGGCCGGAAATGCTTCAATGCTTAAAGAAAATCTTTACAAAACTAAGCGATGCTAAACTAAAAAAAGGTAAAGAAACAAATTTATTTTTAAATAATATAATTTCCACAGCTGTTGACCTTTGTTTTACATTTCACAAATAGTAAAAGCACTATTTAACCTACTTTCTTTCAATTTCACTACAAATTGTAACGGATCATTATTTTTCAGGAGTTTTAAATGGACCAGATTTTTTGGGGAATCACAGATCTGACAATAATTGTTATTAAGAGGATATAAACGAATTGTTAAAAGCATATGAAACAGTCGGTAAGTTGATAAAGACACTCAAATTCGTTATTCGATTTCAGATAATTTTGTTGACGAAATAAAAATTTCAAATAAATATTTTTTATGCACGATGACATTATAATATGACAATTATAACAAAAATTCTTTGACGTAAACGTCTTTTTATAGCCCGCGGGCGTTATTATGGCCCAGCGGGCTATAATGAAACGTCAAAAATTAAAAACAACAATGTTACACCATTTGATATATTCGAAGTAAGTTTTTTCGTATAAAGATTTTGATTTTACCGGCAGCAGGCCGCAATTTTTCGCCTTTTCAGCTGCTTCCTCAATTTCATTTATCTTTAAACTTTAAAACTGACTGATGTCAGTTGACATTATAATATGACAATTATAACAAAAATTCTTTGACGTAAACGTCTTTAAAAACAATAATACCTATGTTAAAAATAATAATATATTAATCGTGCATAAAGTTTTGTATGCATTGCTGGCATAACTGGTTTTTATGGTCCTACGACGCTTTTCTAGCCCTCGCGCTAACGCGCTCGGGCTCGCAATAGCGCCTCGGACCATAAAAACCTTATTATGCCCTTAATACATAAATAACTATTAGGAGTCAATATGTCTTTAAAGATCCATTTCCTCCACAAGCACCTGTACTTTTTTGAGAAACAATTGACATCTAAAAGCGACGAGCATGGGGAACGATTTCACCAGGTTGCTAAGCCGATGGAAGTTCGCTATCGGGGAAAAAAAATTGACGCCATGATCGCAGATATATGTTGGTGGTCGTACCATAAATTCGAGAAAGACCACGACAGAGGGGTGAATTAAATGGAAAAAATTTAAAGGATGATAAAGAGGACCTAATTTCAAATTCTTCTTGGAGCAATGACGATTCCGATGAAAGCAAGGAACATTTAAATGAAAATAGA